ATATAATAATAAATATAATAATAAAAATAAATGTATAATATAAAAATAAAGATATTTATAAGATAAATATAAAATTATAGAAAAATAAGATTTTATATAATTAAGAAAAGATTATAGAATTAAAGAATTTTATGTTATTATAGTAATAATATTACTAAATTAAAATATCTTAAAGTAATTTAAATAGTTAAATTATTTAGATTATATTTATTATTTGATATTTTATTTATCTTAATTACTAAAATTAATTAACTTAATTTATATTTTTAAAAAGTAACTAATTATAATCTAATAATTATAAATAATATAAATAATAATAAATAATAATATAAATAATGATAAAAAAGAATGAATAATAAGAATTATTAAAAGAAATATCTAATTAAAAATATTAATAATTTAAATTAATAATATAGGTATATATAATAATTATTTGCATAATAATATGCTAAATCTAATATATTAAATGCATAATAATTATCTATATATTCAGAATGAAATTAATCTTCTAAATAATTATATATAATATAATTAATAATAAAAAAAATCTCTTATCTTAATTATAACTAAAAAAAAAAAATTAATATATTTACTTAAATAATATATATTTTATTATTAAGCTTTTCACTAAAATTTATTATAAATATTAATAATAATATTATTTAATTGATTTAGTTTAATAATAATATTATCTTAATATTATTTATATTATAATTAATTTACTTTCTGTTATTAGTTTTAATATCTGATATCATTTTTAAAAATAAGATGAAGATTTTATTAAATATTAAAATAATTATAAGTCTGAATAAGATATTATACTTATATAATTATATATTTTCTTTAATATTTAAATTATAATCATAATCATAATATCAGTAATAGAAGAATTATTTAATAAGTATAAGTTTTTATTTATCTTTATTTTAATAATTATTAAAATAGAATTAATAATAGTAAAAAATCTAATTTAATATTATTATTTATTAAATATTAAAATATTAGTTAATTATTAATATATAATTTAATATAATTTTTAAATTTTAATGTTTTAATATTTTTTAAAATAATTTTAGTAAGTATTCTTAATTAAAAAATATAAAAATATTAATTAATTATATAAATAAATATTATAATTAATTAAAAAATTTCTATTATATTTATAATAAAAAATAAAATAAATATTAAAATAATTAAGTTTAAAAAATTATTTAAATAATTATTTTTATTTTATTTTATTAATTTAAAATAATTAAAAATAAGAGTATTAATTTAAATAATTTTATATTTATAAATTTTATTATAATTTTATTTTTATTTTAATCTTATTTAATTATCAATTTTTTTAAGTAATTATAATTATTATATATTATTATATAGAATATTTTTTATTTATTATATTCAAATATATAGTTAAATCTTTTTATAATTATATTTTTTTATAATTATCTTTTTTATAATCATTTTTTTTAGTATTAATTAATTAAAAAAATCTTTATAATTAAATCTTTTTTTAATTATTTAATTTTGCTTTTTCAAGAATAATAACTATAAAAAGATCTGATTATATATTAAAATATTATTTTTAAAAATTAATTAAGATCTAGATTTATATTATATATAAATAATATTATTATTATATATTTTTCTTTTTATATTTATTAATATATATAATATTTTTCAAGATATATAAATATTATATTTATTTTGAAATTAATTTAAATTTAGTTATTTTATATAATAATTTATAATATTTTTGTTATTCTAAAATTATATTTTTCTTAATTAAATTTCATATTTAACTCATTTTTTGTTAATTTAATTAAGAATAATAATAATATCAACTTGATAATATATTATAATATAAGAAGTTATTTAACTAAAAGAATCAAATTAATTATCATAAATATATTATTAATTTATATTATATTAGTTATTATATTAAATTTAATATTAAAAGATATCAAATAATGAAAAATAAAAATACTATTAATAATAACTTGAACTTATATTTTTATATGTTAAATTATTTCATAAAGCTATCAAGTTTATTATATATTTATATGCTATATTTCACTATATATATATTAAATTAGTTAAAAAAAATGATATTATCAATGAAATAATCAAAACTATTTTGTGACGTTTGAGAATACACAGGCTTTAGCCAAAGTATTAAAATCAATTCATTTTGCTATTCAAGGATTAAAAAGTAAAAATACTACAATGAAATCTTGATTATAAAAAGAAAATCTATTTAACTATTCTAGAAGATGTAAGAGGTATAATAGTTCAAGACAGTTCAAAAAAGCGTGCAGTTAAATATATTGATCAAACGATATTTTGTATTAAGTTTTAATTTGTTTTAAATGTTAAATGAACTCCTTTTATATCGATAAATTTGCCTCGTTAAAAAAAATTAAATTTTTCTAATGTCTCACTTCTACGAAACGTTTATAAGTTGGAGTTCGACTAAAAATTATGATTATAAAATTAAAGATCTTAGATTTAAAGAAAAAAAAATGAGAAAAAAGTTCTTACCCTTGATAAAAAAACCGACAGATGAAATTTTTCAAATTTTCTGCAGTTTTTTCTTTAAAATAATAATTGAATTATAAAACTTTTTAATTATTTAAAAGAAAAAGAAAAAAAAAGCGCGACTTACTTTGTATCTTTACAAAATATATAGTTTCGCCCCCGTACAACGGTATATCAGTATTTTTTGGAATGCGACCTCCTTGCATCCATATTCCATTTCGTGAAATATCTCGAAGGTAGGCTTGCTCATCGTTATAATATATCAATGCATCTGGATATAGAAAAGAAAATTAAAGTAATCCGAAAGATTTTTACAGTATATAATGAAAGTACCTACGTTCATTACTAAGGGCGAGATGAGCTGAGAAAGTTAATATCGGCGAGCATTCTTTTATCAAACATAAAAATTAAAAAAAATCAAACAACGCCGAAAAGATGTGCTATGAATATTGGAAAGAAATCAAAAGTTGAACTACCATGACCACGCCCTAATATATAGCACGAATCTTGGAGACAGATAATAGGTGTTTTGGATATTTGTAATTCTGGTTCAACGGGTTGAAGTATTCCCCATATATTACCTGAAGATACTTTGTTCTGCAAATAAAAAAGACTTGATCAATAAATGGTTAATAAATAACAACATAATAATCGCATATTGTATTAATAGAGACCTTAGATATTGAGCTAGGCAGCCCAAATTTTTCTAAATGGTGCGATAATGGCTGAGTGTCTATATCATTATTATATCGTGAAATTATTAATGTGAGATTAAATCAATATATAAGAGCAGAAAGAGACTAAAAGTGATTACCTTCTATATCCCAAGGTGAGGTCGTTAAATATTCGCCATTATATGCTTCCTAGGTAAAGGAATGAACGTGTATCTATTGTTTGAGGAATAATTTGAATTTTATAATCGGAATTTCTACTACTGACCCTTAAATAATCATAATCAAGAGCCTGAATAGCAGTGATTCGAGAATTCTGATTTATAACTAAAAGATTTTTTAAGAGATCCACCGCATGAAACTGTCGGCTTTTTTCCAATTTTGAATAATCGGCTTCATTATGTAGAATATGATCAAGTATATGAGACGCCGATTGACCCGGGAAAGGTGGTACCCCATTTAGCATATGATATAAAACAGCACCAAAAGACCACATATCTACTGCATAGTTATAATTTTTAGTATTTAATTCAGGTGCTCGATATGTCGCCGTGCCCACATCGTGATTCTTCCCCTCATTAACATCATCCGAGTATTTTTTGGCAAGTCCAAAGTCGATAATTTTAATTTTATTTTGATTTCGATCCGTTATCATGATATTCTTAGGTTGAATATCTCGATGTATGATATTTTCCCCGTGCAGATACTAAAACAAAGCAGTTAGAAAAAAGATCTATCAACAAATTAAAATTTGAAAACACATACTGCGAATGCCTCGCAAATTTGCCTCGCAAACAACTGGCAGCGTGTTCTGTATGCAATTGCGTGATATTGGCCCTCGTTTTGCTCAATAAAGGACATAATACTACCACCGTCAAGATACTCGAGAATTAACCATAATTTATCTGGTTTTTTATAGCAGTCAATCAACGAAATTACATATGGATGATGCAAATTTTTCATTATTTCAACTTCCCGCCATAATCCATTTAAGGTCTCAGAGGCTATTGTGTTGCCCACCCGCATCTCTTTCAAAGCATATATACATCCGGTCTCTCGGTTTATAACACGATATACTTTTGCGAACGAACCCCTGTAAAAAGGATCAAAAAATAAAAATCTATCTGATTAATAATAAAAGTATGAAATTACTTACCTTCCTATTTCATTTAAATGGTCATATTTATGAGAAGGATCGAAAGTCTATGGAAAATAATTTAGATTAAGTTTTATAAATATAATCAGATTTAGAATCTTTATCCAGGACCATGTTCGTTTTTTCTTACATTGTTATGAGGAGGCAAAACGTTTTCGTATTTAATGTCCATTTCGGAGGTGGGAAAGAAAACAACAATGGGGTTCTATAAATGGATAGATCTACTCATCAATGATATCATCTGACACTGAAGATCATCATTACTAGTAACACGTAATAAATTGATGCATAAAAAGAATTGCGAAGAAATTATTAAGAAAATATTCAAGAGTGGGAAGGGGGGGAATGGAAAGCTAATTATGGTTTTTATGTTAAACGCAGGCTAATTAAGTTTATTTTAAGACTAATAATATTTACAATTATTAATATTAAGATATATATAACTGTTAAGACATACATTAATATACTCACTCACCATACGTACTCATAATTTCTTTATGTACTCTTTATCTCTAATATGCAAGCAATAAATAAAAAATGTCTTAGTATATTTAATGTTGACAAATTATTTGAAGTTTCAGAAAAGAAATTTTGTGAAAATTTGTGACTGCTTGTTTCTAATATATGGATGTGATATAGTAGTTGAAAGTGTAAGAATAATAATTTTTGGATTATTTACTTCTGCTATCTAGCAAAATATAGAGAATCAAGTATATGTAAAGAAGGTATTTCATTAAGAAGTGAAAAAAAACTAGCAAGCTTGATTCTGGAAAGTGTGATACAAGAATAAAAATAATATATATTGCTTTAACTCAAACAGTTTGTATTGAATATTTTAAAAATTTATTTAATTACAGCTATCTAATTGAAGATAATAACAAGATTAAATAATCTGAAATCATTAAACAAATGGTAATTAATAAAGTAATAAAATTATATATGTCATCAGCCATTATAATTATCATCAAAGAACTAGCAGAAAAGAATAGTTTAGATATTATTAATCAAAATTTACATTAAACTGAAGTTATCAAAATTTAACAAAAAGATATGTAAGCTATTAATAACTTATCTTGTAGATGAGACAGATCTAGAGCTTGATATTCAAAATTCTCTCAAGCTATTAGTTAGCAAATGTGTATGTGATTATATAATATTTACTATCTAGTGATATATAATAAATTAATTCTAGCTATGTATAAAAGAACAAGTATAGAGTATGAGAAAGTAATTCATAATGTCATCATTATCTATCCCATTTCAGATATTATTCACTATATTTAACATAATTATTTAAAGAACATAAAAAAATAGATATTTTAAGTATATTAATATTTACCTTTTTTACTTTAAGTTATTTTCATAAATCTATTAGAATTATTTCACAGTGAATTAAAAAGATTAACTGTAAAGAAATATAACTTAATTAATAAGTACTATTAACTATAATTAAATTATATTTTTCATCATTATCATAATTACCAAATTACTATTTCTTAATTATTAGGTGTATATTATAAGATTATTGAGCTTAATAATAAAAAGTAACTGAATTTGAAAAAGACTATTTTCAATTTTCATCAAAAATAAATCTTTGCAATTGATATTGATAATGAAATTATTAAGAAAATTTGAAAATTTTCATATCTAATTCAAAAACTAATCTTGAATGAGACTATTACTATGAATTTTAGAATTATGAAAGAAAAGTTATCATCAAATCTGATATTATTAAATTATTATTATATATTTTTTATTATTATCTTCTTTCTTATTAACATATTCTTTATAAGTATCTATTTAGTTATAATAAATTATTAATAACTGATATTTAGAAGAAATTTTAATAATTATTTATAGAGACTGACTTTAAAATATATGAATATTAGAAGATAATTAAAATATCTGAGCTTGTTTAGACTAAGAGAAAAGAGAAGTAGAGATATGTAAGTTATAGGTGGATGAACTTATAGAAAAGATATAAGATAAATACTGAATAATAGAGAATAAAGATGATACAAATACTACTAAAGTATTTATCATCTATTTAGATAAATTATTAAATTTAGTTTTTAAAATAATAATATAAATAATTTTGTATTTAATTAAAAATGATTCAATAAAATAATTAATTAGATAGTTAAATAATCTTTTTTTTCTTTCTATTAATATATATTTTTAATATATCTAATAATTAAATATTCTTTAAATAATAATGATCAAGTATAATCTAACTTTCTTCCTTCTTATTAATATATTCTAACAATTAGACTCTTAAAATAATTTACATATTTTAATTTGACTAATCATGAATTTTCATGTGATTTTAAAATCATATGATATGATCTGGATTAAATCACATATCATATAATACTATTCTGCTTTAGTAGATTCTAGAATTGAGTCAAAGACATAATATGTTAAATAAAAATCTTGTTTTTATTAACTTGATTAATTTATTAAATATAAAAAGTTTAATTATTTTTCTGATATTAATGTGAATAATAAAATAATTTTGGAAAATGATATTAATAGCTCACAAAAAAATTATTATTTAAATTTATTATGATATTATTTGAAAATTATTTATAAAATATATTACTTTGAATATAAAATTAAAGATATATAATATTTACTTGAATATAAATATGAAAATTTATATTATAAAATAATTTTAAATCTTTATCAAAAATTATTAATTAGTTTTATTAAAAATATCTAAATATTTTTAAGAATTATAGTATTAAATAATTATAATTAAAAAAATCTCTCTAGTTATATCTCTTTATAATTATTTTTCAAATATGATAATTATAGAGAATTTAATTATATTTTTATTTAAAAATTAATTTTATAGTTAAAAGATAATATGAAAAATATATTGAATTCTTTATAAAAGCAATTTAAATAATTAATTTTATTTATATATATATATGAATTATAAATTATAAATTCTATTGTATAATAATTTTTAATTAGTTATTTGAATAGTTTATATAATTTATAATTAATTTTAAAAATAATATATATATATTTATAATATTTATATTAAAATTTATTATTATTAATAAAGTCTTATATTAAGTAAAGCTTAAATTAAATAATAATAAGTTTTATAAAAAAATAGATTTCTATATTAATTTAAGTTAATCTCTTTTTGTAATATTTTTATTATATTTTATTTTATATTAAAATAATAAAATATTTTAGATTTATCTAATTATTTATAAATATAATTATAGAATTTATAAATTTTATTTATAAATTTTTTTATATAATTATTACTTAATATTAAAATACTTATATAATAAATTTAATTAATAAATTTATAAATAGTATTATATCACTTTACTATATCATAATTATCTGATTTTGTCAAGAAAAATATATAATTCTTGTGTTATTTTTATTTTAAAGAATAATTTTTTATAAAAATTTTATTTTTTTTATTATATAAATATAGAAAATTCTTAAAGCAAGATAAGTTAATTATGTAATTAATTATTTTTGATTAATAATATATAATAAAAATTATAATTAGTATTATGATATTTAATAAATCTGATCAGAATTATTAAAATATAAGTATTATACTAAATTAATTTATATGATTAATATTTAAAATCATTTTATTATTTTATTTATCTTGCATTATTATTTTATTATTTTATAATATTTTTATTATATTATTTTTATTGTAACAATATTAGATTAGTTATTTATAATTATAGTATATTTATCTTACAGATTGTTGCTACGTCACATACTACACCACACGTGACTTACTATGTCACAACCACCTGATCATGCCAAGAAAAGTCATCCAATTATTTTGAGTTATTTTAGCTATAGATAGTTTTTTAGTAGAATTTCTCT